TCAGAGGCCTGGTTTCTCCTGAGGTCTCCTTTCTTCCTCCCATCCTCACGTGGACTTCCTGTGCTCACGTTGAATGTATGTCTGTGCATCCAAATTTCCTTTTCTTATAAGGACAGAATGGATCAGGTCTCATCTTACCTGGCTCATTTTAATCTAATCACCTTTTTGAAAACGCATTTCCAATGTAGCCACATTCTGAAGTACTAGTTTTAGCATTAGGGCTTCAACAAATGAATTTCGGGAAGCATAAGTCAGCCCATAATAATGACATTCAAAAAAAGTTTTACAGCATTAAAACTACTCCAAAATATGAGAACACTCCTTATTTTTCATTCCTTTGTTGAGTGACCATGTGGTGGTACCTTTGCTGAAGTAAGGGAACATGGAGTACAAAGGCCAGAACCTTTTAGCATTAGCCTTATTTGTTCCAATGTCTATTCTTCCCAGCAAGGACAACAGGGAAAATCAAGATAAGAAAACCACAGGCTTTCTACAATAAAGCCTAAATATACATATTTATTAAGAACATAAAAATGTTCAGTTTTCAGAATTCATATTTATTTTGGTACTTACAAGAAATACAATTTTTACCCTTTCCTGCCATTTCAAATAGCACAAATATTCACATGAAAGCTCAAAAAGTCCATCTCTTCTAATTTGTAACCCTTAGGTTGGACAGTGTATCCAAATTATCCTGAGCCATCAAGCCACAAATGGTTCTGGGGGAAGGCTGAGAAAGAGTCTGGGGTGCACGATAATGATGCCCTTCGACCCTGGTCATACTTATTGGTGATGAGGCAGAGAAGACCTCGATTCCCCAAGGACTGGTGTGTGATCTGCACTCACTCAACCTGGTCCATGCCATCCTGAAGACTTTTGTCTTTTTAGTCACAAACATACTTTGCATGGCTCAGGTTCACAGGAGGTGCAGGTAATGGAAGAGAGTGTGGGAAATCCAACCTGCAGGTTCTGCTTCTCCCAGCCAGCACTGCCTTGCTCCACTTCTCAAGATGTGCAGCAGAAATGAAAGGCTTCCTCTTCATCCTGAACTCTCAGAGTTTGCCCTCCTTTCCTCACCCACTGACCTGGTTTGGGAAGTGGAGGAAAAAATAAACCAGGAAGGGCTGCTTTCCCTCTCTCCCGTGAGCCTGAGCTAGTCTCTTAGTTTCACATTTCCTAATCCTTCCTTGGCCTAATAAATTTTTAGGTGTAAAAGTCATACTCAGTTCAGTCCAAATAAGGGAAAGCAAAAGAGACAGTGACCTTAAAAGAGAGAATGATGGATGAGGGAATCAGGCAGGTGCAAGAGCAGAGGAGGAAGAGGAAGTGTAGAGTGAACGAGGTAGGGATTCCTCTCCTAGCCCATGGTACTCCTGGCTTCCAAATGGCTGGAGCCGAAGTTCACTATGCACAGACCCCACAAAAGGCTTTAAAAATCTCATTAGTAGCCCACACCCATCTAGAAGAAAGAAAGGAAGGGAGGGAGGGAGGGCCATGCAAATATCCCTAGGTGTGTGTCCCTCTCTATTCCTCTTATCAAACACTCTGCATCTTAAACCTGAAGCTAGGGGGAGGCAGAGGAGGGAGGAAGCAGTGGATCCTTAAACAGTCTGCCCCCCCCTGTGAAGTATTAGTCTGGCTCCTATTAATAACTTTCTCCTGTTTTTATCATATTTCACTTTCTTGGTACTTTTCCAGCACTCTGTATACCTCACATCACTGTAGGTTTTTGGTATTTATCAGATGCCCTTTTCTCAGAGAAAAGGAGAAAGCGATAGGGTGCTGAGCTAATGACACAACGTGTAATTCTCATTTGGCAAAGGAATAAAAGAAATTGTTCTCAAAATGAAAAACAGAATTCACCTACACACCACCTAAACACTTATCAAAACACATAATTTTCTTAAACCCAGGAACACTCAGATGCGTGGGAAAAGGAAACTGTATTCCCAAAGGAATAGCTCTGAGGTGAGCAGGAGGCGAACAATACCAGCCTTTCCCTGGGGAGCAGCTGAGCTTTCCGAGGACTCTGTCTTGTATCAACTGCTTCACAGACAAGGGACACAAGGCAGCAGCTTCAGCCCATGCTGGAGACGAGCAGTAGAAAGAGCTTGATGAAGTTGATGGCACTCACTGGTTGGACAGTCAGACATCTGAGTTTGTCACAGATTTGCAACCTCGAATAAGCTGGGTAAAATAATTTCCCTGTTCACTGTTTAGAAAGACAGGAAAAGTATCTGCTACCCTGAATGTTATAAAGTTTAAATGGAATATACGTAAAAGAGCGATTTCACGGTGACTTTCATCTCAATACTTAAAGATCCTCCTGGAAGGGGAATCAGGTTGTTAGGGTCCGGAGGAGCGTCGGAGAAAGAGACCACACACAAGAGACTGACTTCATGCAATTGGCAAAAGGGGATATTTATTGGGGATCCATTCCAGCACGCTGGGACTCTGTGCTCACTCAAGAAGCAAGAGCAGCCCAGAGCCCAGAGCAGAGTTCAAGCGGAGCTTAAGTACACTTTTTGGAGAGGGTGGGGGGGCTTTGCATACATCAGAACAAATCATCATGAGGCGCGGGAAAATTGAACAACAACCCTGAGTCAGGATTAGTGCATACATTGGCGGGAACAATCAGGGCAGGAGTGATTGGTGCTCCTAGGTGGGGTACACATTCAAACTGATTGGTTTAGGTCCTGCAATGCCTATGTGCAAAGCAACTCGGAACCCTTAGCTATTAAACAACCAGAAAGTCAGTGGAAATATTTACTGGGCAGTTCCAGTATTGTCCTAACAGCTACAGGGATTACAGATTTTGGGGGTAGCAGAGGGACTCTAACAATACCTAGTCTTTTACTTTTTAACCCAATCCCTACACTTTGGAAACTTTAGGATGCTTGGTCTTTTACACTTTAACTCAGGCTCTGCGGCTTAGAATCAGCTTGGAAATTTTATCTTTACAAGGTAAACCAATGTCCAGGATTCAGAACTTCTGTTTCCTGTTACAGTGTTTGTTCCCACCTACCTACCTACCTACCTACCATACCCAGATTAATGGTGCTCACACCTCAGCCTGTGATTAACTTTGTTCCTAAACAGTTGCAGCCTGAAAATCTTTAGATGACTTGATTTCCATAGGAATAATGGTTCTGAGTTAAACACACTGTGTGAGGACTCACTGGGTATGGGAGGGAATAGTGAGTAAACAAATAATTGCTAATAATGACTGGATCTGTTGTGTGCGTCAGCTGGACAGTGAGGGTGAACTCACCTCACAGCCATCTTCTTTTGGTGACCAAGTGTCTGTTTTCCAAATTTTATCACTTTCCTCTCAAACATTCATCAAAAGTTCTGAGGAACTGGAAATCCAGCTCCAAATCCCTGTTTGTAATTACCCAGCAAAAGAAAACCAAAAATTCACCGGAAAAGTAAATTTATTCCCAACACTCATTTCTGAGTGAATGTTCCATGCAGGTCTTTAGATGAAGTTTAAAATGATCACCCAATATCATCACATAGTTTTCAGTTATGGTTTCTCTAAGAACAGGGAAATGATCAATATGTGAATGATTCCTAACATTGGTCTGTAAATGCCAGAAATATGTCCAAAAGGAGTCAAATTTGTTCTGTATAAATCTTCTTAGCTTTCAATCTGACACTGTAGTAGCTATTTAATAGAGAATGTCAGTTTATCAGAAAAGTTATAGATGTGCATTTATTTACTATTCTTTCAAAGTAGGATGAAAGTAATCACTTTCAATTAGCATCTATCATTTGACGTTCTCCAAAAAAGAATGCTCATTTATCAAACTCCCAATTCATAATATTGATTTCAGATTTTTTGGTACATTTTTTTTCCTTGAGTACAAAGCATTATTAAAGCATTTACAAATAGATCTAGCACAGGCAAGTTTAGGGAAAACCTACAACTAACTTTGGCAAGGAATTACAGAATGGCAAGAGCAGATAAACAGCAGCTTGAGAGTCTCAAGTATTCAGAATTCCAGGGACATCAGTTCATATGCATTCTTAAAGGAAATGAGTTTGGGTCAATCAAGGAGTAAGTTAAGTGGAGGTCATTAAAGAGGACTTCTACTGAATGTGAACACTCCGTGTCTATCAATAATCCCAGAACAGCACTTAAAATACAATAAGAATGCATAGTTGCTAGTACTTACATGTCTCTATCCAACATCAAAGCCTCAAAAAAAGCCAGAGCTGAATTCTCTGATGAGGCTTGAAGCACTAATATTTCATATTATTTCTTCTAGTGAAATCTTCATGTTTAAGATATCCGAGCTCAGCAAAGGCACATATTTCTTCAGAGATGGTATACAGGTTTGCTTTTGGGAACAACCAAACAAAATTTCAAAAAGAAAGAAAGAAAGAAAATGAAAAGAAAAAAAGAGTTCTTTGAATCTGCCCATGCACTTCAGAAAGTACTAGAATACATTGCTAGAATACATGGCTCAGAATTCTGACCCATGAAGTGTAGAAATGATGCTTTCATTCGAAAGAGTATGTGTGTCCCATTTTGAGCCCACTCATCTCTCTGTGTGATCTCTTTGGAATCTAGAATGTCTGCTTCTGAACAGAAAGAGCTTCATTGTAAGGAAGGGTGGTCCTAATAGGATAGAGCTCAAATTATCTTCAGGTCAAGGACCAATGCCATTCTTGTCCAAACAGTGGAAAATTGCTCTCTGCTTTATTATCAGTTACATTTTCATGCTACAAAATATCTGGAATATATTCACCGTCTGAGAGGTATTATACATGCCACCATTGAATTTAAACCTTTAGAATCATATGCCATTAGAGCTATTTGTCTACCTATGACACATGCTCATAAACTTATTTTAGCCCTGGATTTGGAGTCTGCTTAGACCATTTATCACGTTAGGTCTTTCATTTGTGGTTACCATTTGTCTTCTTAAACAAAAAAAAAGTTATGGATGAATCATGTGACTAATGCTTCTCGTCCATCTCTTTTGCTTTTGCAGGAGGGATTTTTGAAACTGTGGAAAACGAACCTGTTAATGTGGAAGAACTAGCTTTCAAGTTTGCAGTCACCAGCATTAACAGAAACCGAACCCTGATGCCGAACACCACATTAACCTATGACATCCAGAGAATTAATCTTTTTGATAGTTTCGAAGCCTCGCGGAGAGGTAACTCTTTTCCCACTTTTAAAAGCTTTTTTGGGTGATCCGTCTGCTCCATGGGTCACCTTTTTGCAACCTGCCCTTTTTCAAAACAGCCATCTTAGTGCAAATGGGTCATAGGAAATCTCAGGCCTGGGTGTCACTGATCAATGCAATCTGTGCTAACCTAATGGATGCTGCCTCACCCTGTTTTCTGGGCCTTTCTGATTAGCTTACCCTTCAGTGCCCTCCACTCTATGATTAACTGGTTCAGCTGTGAATGGAAAATGTCAAGCTTGATCTGTTTTTCCTTCCTGAAGCTGAGATACCACCATGAAATTGTACAGTGCAGTCAAATAAAACTTTGCAGAAGGTCACATCCATGGAGCTGTGGAAATGCCCAGGACATACATAACTCACACCCTGAATTTTAACAGGTTGTAAACTATGGGGTTTACCTAGCATCTTCACAATACTTTTTTTTTCTCCTTTCAACAAAATCATAGAAATACAAAGATTAAATCTGTGAGAGAACAATGTCAGCATTTAATTTTCTTTTGCTTCTGAACAGAAGACAAGTGCCTAAAAAGTAATCCAATTTATAGACTACAAGCTTTCTCCCATGGAATGATTCATGTGGAACTGAAGGGTGGTTTAGACATCCTGCTGGCACTTCTAGGATGATTCTTTGAAGTAAGATCACATTTGATACACTTGAAGCTTGGCCTCTAATAAGGGCACAGTCTAGTCACCAGATAAAGGAGTTTGTGTGGCAACAAAGGCTGTTGAGCACCCCAGAACAGAAGAGTCTCTTTGCCTCACAGAGAATGCCTCACCAGTACAGACAAACAAATAAAAGACAGTGAACTCCACAGTCCCGCTTGTTGTTAACTGAATTAACCTAGTTAGATCATAGGATGTGTTCACTTAGTGAACTTTTGCAAGACTTTTAGTACTCTTTCCAAATAAAATATAAAACTTTTCTTAGGAGAACAGGTGAAAAAAAATATAGTGCAATGATCTCTGTCTACCTATGGCATATCACTTAGTATAAGAATTCTTTCTTTTTCAAGATAGATGGAGTTAAAAATGTCATATAGGTCAGGATTGTCTATGAACAAATAGTAAAGCTTTGCTTATATAGCACTTTGAAATTTACAAGTCATCTCCATATGCATTATCTGTTTGGGTTAGATCTCTCTCTCTCTCTCTCTCTC